TGATGGTGTACATGTCTGTGAACTAAGGTGTCGTTAAAATATGGGGCAGCATATGGGGAAAGGACACCCACTGCCCCCCCCAAGCCCTAAGTGTCTAAAGTGGAGTTAAAATAGAGGGGAATTGAGCTGCGCAGTCCAGCTGTGGGCAGCCGAAGCAGCCGACCCAGGACCTGCACAGCTCCCCTCGCCCTCCAAGGCCCTATGTGAAAGAGTGGTGTGACATGGATGTATGTCTAAAGTGCAGTTAAAATAATGAGGGGGGGGGAGGTGAGTGGCTAATCACCCCCCCCCCCCTTCCCTCTGTGTGGTGCGGTGTGATGTCTTGGTGTGGTGTCTAACGTGTAATTAAAAGAGATGGGGGGTGAATAGCTGATCACCCCCCATTACCTATGTGTGGTGTAGGTGGATGCGGGCTGGGGGGGGGGCATGGGGTGATAGGTGATAGCGCCGCAGGGGCTTTTGCTCAATCTAGTCTGGGCACCACTTTACAATAAGGCTCCCTTTTGCCACTTTGTAAATGGTAGTAACTCATTAATAAAAAGAAAACTGTGTTATATATAAAACTGTCGATTAATAATTTACAAAGTGTTACAACCTAAGTGATAACCAGATTATAAACCACTCATAAACCCTTTATATGGGTAGCCTTACTGTAAAGCGGCACTCTAGTCTTTAAAGTCAGTCCCTCAGAGTCCGAGGTTCACTGATTAAGCAGAACAAGAGCGACACAGCAGCTACTTTCACGAGTGAAAAACAGTATCCATGGAATCTCACCCCAGAACTGCGCATATATGCAGAATAAGTCACTAACACATGCATACTGTTGTTGGATTGAAGAGAATGCATGTTAATGAATATGTCTGTGCTTTAGCATTGCAACATTTGCATACAGTACATGACTGCAGCTTTTCTCAGACGCAACACAACCAAAGTCTTTCAGCTGGACCATGGCATGAAGACTAGTATTCGATGTACCTGTTTTGGCTGAATTCTCTACTGATCCATAGTTACTTTATGTCTGGTATTTTATGCCTCTTGATTTTGCACCCCCCCCCCCCAAAAAAAACGACAGAATA